CTCCTCCTGAAAATTTACTATCTGGCAACGATGCCCCTCGGAATTCCTGTTCTAAAGGGTCTGAGAAGTCTTTAACCCACTGTTTCCCAAGTGTATTTGACCTTGGACCCTCCCAAGTTCCCCATCCTGGAATCCTCAGCCTCATCCTACCTTTTCTGCCCCACCCAGACTCCTCCTGTCTCCGGGAATCTCCCCTCCCTCGGGGGCCCAGCTCAAGGATGACTGTCCCAGCCACACAGCCCACCAAGCCCTAAGCCCAGCTGCAGGTGTGGGCTTGGCACCTTCCCCTGATGCCACAGGGAGCAACTTCATTTAGCAGGAACCCAAAAGAGGCTCCAAACCAAGCCCTGAGTGGAAAAAGCAGGCTACAAAGCAGCAGCACTGTAAGATACTATTTGTTGTTGTTTAAAAAAGAAAAGAAAAAAATATCCCCGCATTATTTGTACATAGAAAGATGTGAGGGCTTCCCTGGTGGCGCAGTGGTTAAGAATCCGCCTGTCAATGCAGGGGACACGGGATAGAGCCCTGGCCCGGAAGATCCCACATGCTGCGGAGCAACTAAGCCCGTGTGCCACAACTACTGAGCCTGCGCTCTAGAGCCCGTGAGCCACAACTACTGAGCCCGTGTGCCACAACTACTGAGCCTGCGCTCTAGAGCCCGTGAGCCACAACTACTGAGCCCGTGTGCCACAACTACTGAGCCTGCGCTCTAGAGCCCGTGAGCCACAACTACTGAGCCCGTGTGCCACAACTACTGAGCCTGCGCTCTAGAGCCCGTGAGCCACAACTACTGAGCCCGTGTGCCACAACTACTGAAGCCTGTGCGCCTAGAGCCCGTGCTCCGCAACCAGAAAAGCCACGGCAATGAGAAGCCCGCGCACTGCAACGAAGAGTAGCCCCCGCTCACTGTAACTAGAGAAAGCCCATGCACAGCAACGAAAACCCAACACAGCCAAAAATAAATAAATAAATAAAATTAAAAAAAAAATGTGAAAAGACATACATCAAAATGTTAATAGTGGGGGGCTTCCCTGGTGGCTCAGTGGTTAAGAATCCACCTGCCAACGCAGGAGACATGGGTTCAAGCCCCGGTCTGGGAGGATCCCACATGCCACGGAGCAACTAAGCCCGTGCGGCACAACTACTGAGCCTGCGCTCTAGAGCCCGCGAGCCACAAATACTGAGTCCGCGTGCCACAACTACTGAAGCCCGCGCGCCTAGAACCCGTGCTCAGCAACAAGAGAAGCCACTGCTATGAGAAGCCTGTGCACCACAACGAAGAGCAGCCCCCGCTCAGCGCCAACTAGAGAAAGCCTGCGTGCAGCAACAAAGACCCAATGCAGCCCAAAATAAAAAATAAATAAATTTATTTAAAAAAATGTTAATAGTGATTACCTAGAATACGGGGCCAGCAAATTGTTTTCTGTAAAGAGCCAGACAGTAAACATTTTAGACTTGGAGTCATATAACTCTGCAGCTGTTGCTCTAAAGCAGCCATAGATATAGAAGATACCTAAACCAACAGGCAAGCTGTGTTCCAAAAAACTTCACAAAAGCAGGTTACTGGCCAGAAGGTCATCATCTGCCAGTCCCTGACCTAAAGATTGAATATGTGATTTTTAAATTTGCCCGTTTTATATTTTTATGTATTTTCCAAGTTTTCCACCATAAACATTATAATTATATTACTTACATAAACTAGGAGGGAGGGATGGATCAATGAATTATGCATTTTGGGGAGGGAGGGATAAATTAGGAGTTTGGGACTAAAATATACACACTACTATATATAAAATAGATAACCAACAAGGACCTACTGTATAGCACGGGAAACTATACTCAATATTTTGTATTAACCTATAAGGGGAAAAGAATCTGAAAAAGAATTATACATATATATACATATATCTGAATCACTTTGCTGTACACCTGAAACTAAAACATTGTAAATCAACTATACTTCAATTAAGATTTTTAAAATAAATTATGCATTTTTAAAGGTGCAAACAATTAAAACATAAAAATCTAATGAACCTCACTCCTAAGAAAAGTGCAAATTTAAAATGACGCTGTACCAATAAGGACCTACTGTATAGCACAGGGACCTATATACCCAATCACTTGTAATAACCTATAATGGAAAAGAATCTGAAAAAGGATATATATATATATATATATATATATATATATACATATGTATGTACGTATATATATATGTACGTATACATATATACATATATATATAACTGAATCACTTTCCTGTACACCTGAAACTGCCAACACTATAAATCAAATATACTTCAACAGAAATTATTTTAAAAAACAAAAGAAGTAATTACCTTCCAAGTACCAACAATGGAAAAGTGAATAAATATCTCCCTCACCAACAATAATGATGCTGAGATAGCATATTTCACCAATCACGCCTAATAAAACATCAAAAAGCTTGCACTAATCCTCCTACACTGTTGGAAGGAATGTAAACTGGTACAGCCACTATGGAGAACAGTATGAAAGTTCTTTAAAAAACTGAAAATAGAGTTACCATATGATCCAGTGATTCCACTCCTGGGCATGTGTCTGGAGAAAACTATAATGCAGACAGATACATGCACCCCAATATCATTGCAGCACTATTTACAATAGCCAAGATGTGGAAACCACCTAAATGTCCAACAACAGATGAATGGATAAAGAAGATGTGGCATATATACACAGTGGAATACTATTCAGCCATAAAAAGAATGAAATAATGCCATTTGCAGCAACATGGATGGACCTAGAGATTATCATATTAAGTGAAGTAAGTCAAAGACAAATATCATATGATATCATTTATATGTGGAATCTAAAAAAAATGATACAAAGGAATTATTTATAAAACAGAAATAGACTCACAGACATAGAAAACAAACTTATGGTTACCAAAGGGGGAAGGTGGGGCAGGGATAAACCAGGAGTTTGGAATTAGCAGATACACGCTACTATATATAAAATAGCTAAACAACAAGGACCTACTGTATAACACAGGGAACTACACTCAATATCTCGTAATAACCTATAATGGAAAAGAATCTAAGAAAGGACATATATATATATATATACACACACACACACACACACATACACATACATGTATGACTGAATCACTTTGCTGTATACCTGAAACTAACACAACACTGTAGATCAGTTATATTTCAATAAAAACTTAAAAAAAAAAAGCTTGCACTGTGTTTTGAGGGCTTACGAAGCAGCCTCTCTCCCACATCTTGGTGGCACAGAAACTGAAACAACCTCTATGAGGTCCAAGTTGGCAACCTCTACCCAAATGACCAGCGTTCTACCTTTTGACCCAGAACTTTCCTGTCTCGGAATCCACCCTACAGACAGATTCCCACTGAAACAATGCATAGGTACGGTTCTGTTCTCGACTCTAGCATACGCTGAAAAGAGCCCAAGTCTGGAAGTGACCTATCTGTTCCTCGGTTGGGAACTGAGTAAACAAATTGTAGGAGATCTGTACTGTATGATACTACAAACACTATGCAGCGATGCAAAGAAAAGGCAGCTCTGATGTGGAACCATCTCCAAGAGATATATTTTGAATGAAAAAAGGCAAAGGGGAGAATGTGCATTTAAAAAAGGAAGAAAATAATATGTGCGTACAATTGCTTGTGTATGCTGCTAACTATCATGGAATGATACAGGAGCCTAGGAACACTGCCTACAGAGGAGCCAGGAGGCAGGGGATGGAGATGGAAGGGAAACGTTTTATTGTCTAGTCTTCTGTACCTTTTTAATTTGGTATCCTGTGCAAGAATCATCTATTCCAAAAAATGTTAAATGAAAAGGATGAATAAAGTGAAATTTAACAAAATAAATCATACCAAAATAAAAAAAAAACAAAATAGGGCCTTCAAAGGACTCTAGCCAGTCAAAGCAAAGAAAGCTCTCTGATCCTGACCCTCATTTCCTCACCTGTGGGGAGGAGGGAACACCTGTGTGGCTGGCCCACCTCCACCTGGGAGGCTCGGGAGGGACGAGACGTGTGCCCAGCCTCCACGGTGACTGGCTGCACTCGGCACACGTGAGTCCCTCCGCTTGCCCGGATGTCCTCAAGGCCCCAGCCCACAGTGTCTGCAGAGGGTAGTAATGATGCTGAGGAGGGAGCTGATGAGGCACGGGAAACCCAGGCCCCCACCTACCAGTCTCCAGCCTGGTGGAGGCATTCAGCCCTGCAGAACCGCCGGAGAGCCACGGTGGCCAGCAACACGCCCTCCTGGTCCTGCCGCTTCTCCCTCCATCTCCACCACCACCCAACGCACCCACGAAACACCACCAGCCCCTCCCACCCAGATGGAAGCATCCACCAGACTCTTCACAGAGGGAGGGTGCCTTGCTTAACCCCAAGGAGCAAAAGGCTAAGAAAGGGGTTCTGGGCACCATGTTCTTGGGTCCCAGGACCCTCCAGTCAATGCACAGGAAAACGAGCTTCCTGCCACCTCACCGGCAGGGCAGTGCCACCCCCAAAATGATGCCAGGCCTTTACTTTCACCACACTTCCCCTCGGATCTCACAGCCCCTTGAAAGTTGGAATAATCAGGAATCACCTTTTCCATTAAATTTTGGGGAGAATGAGGCTCAGAGAAGCACAATGACTTTAGCTGACACTTCAGGCGACAGTGACCACCTCCAGACCGCCCAGCTCACGGTCCTTCACTCTCCCCACACCATCATCGGGCTCCCAGAACTCCCCCTTCTAAAGATGACCACCCCCAACATGTGCAGGCTTTATTGCTTCAGCAGCTTCCTGAAGCTCGGCCCTTCCCCCCAGGGCCTGGGCAAGCTCAGTCTGACAAGACAGGAACACGCCAGCCCCCATCGTCTCTCCAGGGGGCCCGCGCACACACAGCCCAGAGAAGAGGGAGGCCTGACCAATGTCAGCAGCTCCCAGGCCTGAAAGCAAATGTCCGGGTCCTGCTCAGCTGCCAGCGACCTACCCCTTCCTCAGGTTTGTCACATAAGCGCTCTGGAGCGCTGCTTCCAGGAAGTAGGTGAGCTCGTAGTCGACCGGGTGAGATCCTTTCAGGTGCCGGGATGTGCTGTTACTTGTGATCTGGGAAGGGGAACACAGAGAGAGCCGCTGTCTCTAAGTTCCGAGGCCGAGAGGCCAGGGTCAGCCCAGGCAGAGGTGGCGGCCCCATCGCCACCCAAGCCCCTAGCCACCTTAGGGGCACGTAGGGCAATACGCGGACCAAACTGAACCTAACTTGCTTGAATTCAAAATAGGTCTAAAGCACTCTCCCTGTGCAAATGCTGCATGCCCGTAACAGCCCTACAAGGCTGGTTTTCTCTGCACCTTACAGATGAGGAAATTGAGGCTCAGAAAGTGCCCGAGGACACAAAGCTGGCCTGGGCCTGGACCTCAAACTCAAGTCTGGCCAGCTACACATTCCAGGCTCTTTCTACTACTTATTGGTGCATCCTTTCAATACTTGAGCGCCTACCAGACGCCGGACATTGCACTGTCCCTGTCACATAACCAAGTAACCTCAGAACAGCCTAACAGCTGACCCCTGGTTCGTGGGAAAGCTGAGAACAATCATTACTAACTGAGCTGTCGTTTAAACCTCAGCTCTGAGAGGGTCACCCAGCTCCACCGAGATGGGCCTGCCTTCACTATGCCACCTCTCTCTCTGATATGAGGGGATCCACCTATCTTTCAGAAACTGAAATAGTTTTAGAGAGATTCTTAGTTCCTCAGACGTTGGCGCTGGGTCTTAGGAGGGACATCCAGCTTTGCAGTGCACCGGGTGCACAGGGTTCTATGGGCTGCCCTCCCTCGACCTGAGATAACCAGCTCTTGGGGCTCATTTGTCCACCCAGTGCCCCTGGGGCACTGATTCCAGCCCTGGACATCATTCCAGCTCATCACCTTAATCCCCTTTTAAGAGTCCAAAACCCAGGCTTCTGACTGAATGGGTGACTTTCAATTTTTCATGAAAGCTTCCTCCAAACTATATGTAATTCAAACACAAAGAGCTCCTGAAACACTGCATGTGACCTTGGCAGAGGTCAACTCAAGTCTCCACGTGGACCTCTGCCAGGGAGTACACTCGAGTCCTGTTTCCGCTGAGCCACCAATCACTTCTTTCCCGCTGAAGGACAACCAAGCAGAGGGATTCTAGGACGGTGACTCTCAACAGGGGGGCAATGTTGCCCCTGAGACATTTGGCAATATCTGGAGACACTTTTGGTTGTCACAGTTGGAGGGGGGCTGGCTGCTGGCAGCCCACAGGTAGAGGCTGGGAGTGCTGCTGGACCTTCTACACAGGGCAGCAGAATTATCTGGCCTCAAACGTCAGAAGTCCTGAGGCTGAGAATCCTGCTCCATGGGAGCTGACCTGGCATGAGGAGGACGCCTCCAAAAAGGTCCGTCACAAACAGGTGCTGGGTTTACATTTTCGCATTTGCCAAAGTAGGTGAGGTTCAAATATCTCTTGAGTGCTGAGTCTCTCAGATCGTGCCCACCTCCTCTGTCTGGATGCCAATCCTAAATCTCCTCTGCCAAGCCTGCCATCGAGCATCTACTAAACGTCTACTAAACAGAAGGCTTAAGCACCACCCCAAAGTCACAAGTCATACAGGGTCCAAGCCCTGCCAACGCCACTTATGAACTGTCTGAGCTCCGGGAAGCTATTTAACTCTCCACACCTGAGTTTCCCCACCTACACAATGGGAATAACAATCGTAACCCGTTGCAGTTGGTTACTATTCGAAGGTTAAATTAGAGAACAACTTTGAGTAAAGTACTCAAAGTACTGCCTGACATGAAAACAGGGATGCAGTAACTCTAAGTATCTTTGTTGAATATGGCTGCCTGTACCCCCGCATTAAACCAGGAGTCCCCAGAAGGGAAGAACTGGGGTAACATCACAGTATGCTGCTAACACCTGGAACTGCTGTCCTGCTGAGAGTTCGTTCAGGCCCCCCAAAGCACAAGCAGGGAGATAAGTAGGCCTGAGAATTTCCAGACCCCTGTGGCCAGCTCTGCCAGCCTCTGCAAGGCTTTAAGAATCGTCCTCCTCCCCGCTAAAGGGTCCAGTAGCGAGCTTCCGGAGCACCTGAGAGCTGGGAAGAGTGCCTACATGGACCGGCCTGACTGTACCCTTCCAAGGGAAGAGTAGTGGGCAAATGGCTTAATCTCTCTAAACCTCATGTATTAAACAGGGATGAATGTAATACCTACTTCAGAGAGCTGCTGTGAGGGGTAAACAAGTTAACGAACACAGCAGGGCTGTCACGTTTTTGGTCGTACAAGCTGAGCTCAACCAAGGAGGTTCCCAGCCGCTCGCAGGTGGCGTGGACTCTTGTGTTTATTAAAACTCTTTTCTGGCAGTAGAGTCTCATGCTTACAGAATCAGGATACTATAACGAGTTTTCCAATGGATAAAGCAGAGCATCTTTAGGGCAGGTGGGGGGGGGTCCTCTTTTCTAATTTGTACAAGCAGGACCTACGGTTTTAGTGGGGTGGGGGGGGTTGCATAGATACAGGTGCTCAATAGAGGGCAGTGATGACCAATGGGGCTATTATTTCCAGCTCACCTTCTCCAATTCCTGCAGGAACACCTGAGCGATCCAGGAGGCCCTCTCGAAACAGGTGATCACTTCCTCCTCCCTCTCGGTCAGGCGGTGGCGGGAAGCGATGGAGTTGGGGAGGCGTTCCAGGGAGAGGCCTGCGGGACGAGGGGAGCACCTCGGACCTGCCCTGCTTGGCGGGGGAGGGGGGGCCCAACTCCAGGCCCCTCCCAGGGGCCCAGGGTGGGCTCATCCGAGGAGACTCTGGAGCAGCCAGTGGGAGGCAGAGGTCCTGGGAGGGGAAGGAGGAGGCTAAAGCAAGGATGGTATTAGCAGCGGCTGGGATCAAGCGGTGTACAGACAGCAGGCACCCACGCTCCACGTGGGGAACCACACTGGTGGCACCCCCATGCCCAACTCCTGCCTGGCCTTCCAGGCAGTGCCTGCTGGAAGCAATCCTGACCCCTCCCCTCCCAGCTGCTAGAAGAGACCCCTCCCCAGGCACTCACCATGTTTACATCACGGAGTGGTTATTTACATCTAGCTCTTCTCTCCCCCAGTAGTTCAATGGGGGCAAAATGAGCCTGTTTGGGCTGCCACAGTCCCTAGCACGTGGTAGATGACTTGACTACACAGCATTTATACGCACCCCTCCCTCGGAACCAAACAGTTTCTACCTCACCTAAGTCAGGCGCTTGGGTCCTATGCACCTGCAGTGGAATTTTCTGTTTTTGCGTCCCTGGCATCCATTTCCTAGTCTTTCCACAGCAGCACCTCTCTCTCCCTTTGAGCACCTATTTGTGCAGTCTCGCTCAGCCCCTGTGGCTCAGAGGGCGAAGACCCCGCCCCACCTCAAAGGCAGGCACGTGATCCAGGCTGACTTATCATCCGGGCCACAGTGATTGGCCAAGGGTGTGCACGTGGCCTGGTTTGTGCCGAGAAGACCCAATCCCAGAATTCTTACCCCTTCCACTGGGCTTGTTAAGCTGCTAAGAGGCAGCTTAAAATGAAGCTACATAACGTGAATGTCATTAACATGATTGTACACTTGAAAATGGTTAAGGTGGTAGATTTTATGTTTTTTACCAAAATTTAAAATTTTTTAAATATAAAAGCATAACTCTAAAGCAAAAACAAAAACAAAAACAAAAAACAAAAACTATAAGAAACCAAGAAGGGAAAGCTGTAAAGGGAAACAACTATATTTATGTCTGGGTTTTTGGTCTTTTGCTTTTTTTTTTTTTTTTTTTTGAGACAGGAAAAAGCTTGAATAAACTCAGTCATGAAAAAAAAACAAACGAAATCTACACAGAACAGAGATGAGACTTGATGGAAACGGGCAGATTCCTAAAGACACTGTTTGAACACTTGCCTGAAGGACTACCCCCTGAAACTTTCCAGTATATGCACCAATAAACCCCTTCCCCCATTTTCTCAGGGAGGGGTGGGGTCAAAGTCCACTTAAATTGTGTTGCTGTCACGTGCAACTCACAGTCCTGACTAGAGAGCACTGTCCTAGCCTGCAGTTCTCGGTGGGCAGAACCCAGATCTTTCTTACCTTTGTGCCCACACAGTACTTTATATGTAGTAGGTGCTCAAGATCAAGTGACTGAAGGAAGGCCCAAGAAGAGAATCCTCAACTCTCTCCTGCCCTTTGACCCCAATATCCAACTGATGACCAAGCCCTTAACATTTCAAGCCTCCCCTCCCCTCCCCTTCTCTTATCTCCTTACTTTAGGCTTTATCTCTTGAGTGGATGACCACCTTGGCCTCCTAGCTGGCCTCCCTGCCTCCAGTCTCACTCTCATCCATCCTGCTCAAGGATCCCAGGGTGATCCTTCTAAAACTCCACTGCTTAAAACCCTCCACTGGGGTCCCCATTGCTACAGGGTGAGGCCCAAACTCCTGACATTCCATACCATGCCCTCCAAGATCCATCCCTGTCACCTCCCCAGCCTTGTCTCTCATCATGTTATACATCAAATGTTTGTGTCCCCTTGAAAGTCATAAAGTCATATGTTGAAAACCTAATGCCCAAGGTGATGGTATGAAGAGGCGGGGCCTTGGGGAGGTGATTATGTCCTGAGGGTGGAGCCCTCATGATAGGGATTGGTGTCCTTATAAAAGAGACCCCAGAGAGCTCCTTCCATCATGTGAGTACACAGCAAGAAGTAGGCAGCCTGCAACCTGGAAGAGGCCTCTCACCAGAACCTGACCATGCTGGTGCCTTGATCTCAGACTCCCAGCCTCCAGGACTGTGAGAAATAAGTGTCTGTTGGGTATAAGCCACCCAATCTGTGGTGCTTTGTTCTAGCAGCCTGAGCTGACTGTGACACCATGCCCGCTGCATCCACACCCAGCCTCCTGCTCCCACTGTGCTCAGGTTGCTCCTCTTGCCTGGAATGCACCCTCCACCCCACCCCCCAGAGGCCACCCAAAGTTACAGCTCACCTTCTGCCACTGAGTACCCCCTCCTCTATGGAGCCCCCCCGATACACCCTGGTGTAACCAACCATTCTCTCCTTGGGCCCTGATCTACACTTTACGTATTACTGCCCCACCATCTTGTTAGACTTATTTGTTCACATGTTTGCTCGGCCAGACTATAGGCTCCTTAAAAGCATCAACCTTAACACATTACCTTTCTATAACCTGGCACACAGTAGGCACTCAGCAAGCACTGGCTGGTTGAAGAAATGACAAGCCTGATGGTGTCTGAGAAAGTACAAAGTACTCTACAAACACAAGGCAAAGAAATACTGCTGTTCTTGGCTAGATTCCCAACTCCTATGGTTTCAGTGACCCTGCCCTCTGCCAGACTGGCGTGTGAATGGGTCCGAAGGTCGGGATGCCTCGGCCTGGGGAAAGGTGGACATAGACCGTGAAGGCCCTTGCTCAACACAAAGACTCAGTTACCCGGGTCACCAAGTGTCAACGTGCCTCCTGCCAAATGACTCACGACCAGGAAAGGACTAAGCGGGAAGAGGAACAGAGGGCGCACTGGAGAAGACGTGGCAAGAAGGCAGGGGAAGGCTGGTCCCCTCTGCTCACTGCCGGCGCTGGCCCAGCCACTCCTCTCCAGACCCATGGCCCCCGTGTACCCTACAGGACAGTGGGACATAGAAACTGTTCAGGGCCTGGCCTGGAAGCCAAGTGGAAAAGGCAGGAGGGCAGAGCCAACTCCAGAAGACACAGAGAGGGTCTGTTTTAACATCCTTGTGCTCTCCCCCCCACCCCCACGCCGCGAGATGTGCTGCTGTCTGGGTTCCCTCCTGCGCCACCTCTGGGCCCAGAACTGGGATGGACCAGGTTCAGGCTGCCAGTCCCAAGCCTCCGGTGGGCTAGCCACGGCAAAGCAGTGAATTCAGCAGTCTGTGGGGCCGCCACATTCCCCGTGCTCCATGTGTTCCTTCTGCTCCCAGCAGGGGCCTCTCCACCAGGCTCCTCTGAGAATTCTAAACCCCATCCTCCTTGAAAGCTCACAGCACACCACCTCTTCTCCGAAGGCTTCTTAAGTCTCCCGCCTTCAGAGCCAGCAGCATGTTTTAGCTGCGCCTCCTCTGCGTATGCCTTTCCCCTACGTTGTGACCATCCTCTCTGCCCATTTCTGGTTGATCTTTGTACCCAGCGAGAGCAAGGCCTGGTGCTTAGTGAGTGGATGGACACACAGACGAACACACACATTCGCTCATGCCGAGTGTAGAGGCCGGCGGCGTTTCTCCCGCTCCATCTAAAAAATGGTTCTTGCGGAATTCATAAACCGTGGCATATTTATACAATGGAATACTATTCAGAAATAAAGAAAAGGACACACTCTTGATACATACAACACGGGTGAATCTCTCAGAACTTATATTGTGCAGAAGCAGCTACATATCGAAAAGTACAGGCCATATGATTTCAGTTATATGACATTCAAAACAAGGGCAAAATGATAATCTATATTAACAGAAACCAACCAGTCATTGCCTGGGGTGGGTTTGGGGAGGGGATCAATTGGCAAAGGACCTGAGGGAATTTTCTGGGGTGATGGAAATGTTCTTTGTCTTTATTGTGGTGTTGGTTACATGGGTATCTATACTTGACAAACTCATCAAATTACACACTTAAGATCTATGTACTGTGTAAAAATATATCTAAAAATAATAAATACATTCCTTTTTGAAAGGAAGCAATTATGATTCCAGAGAACTAATGAAGATCAAAGTAAAGGGGCTACAGTCACTGAGGTAGTGGTCTGTGAAAAGAATTCTAACATATAGCAGACCAAAAAGCTTCCTGGAGCTGGCAACAGCTCTTCCTACTGAGGGTCACAGTCCAGTCACCCCAGTTCTGCCCATAAAAAGAGGCTTCTTTGTCCGCCTGCCAATGCAGGGGACATGGGTTCGAGCTCTGGTCCGGGAAGATCCTACGTGCCGCAGAGCAACTAAACCTATGCGCCGTAACTACTGAGCCTGTGCTCTAGAGCCCACGAGCCACAATTACTGAAGCCCACGTGCCACAACTACTGAAGCCTGTGCGCCTAGAGCCTGTGCTCTGCAACAAGATAAGCCACTGCAATGAGAAGCCCATGCACTGCAACAAAGAGTAGCAGCCAAAAGTAAATAAATTTATTTAAAAAAAAAAAAAAAAAAAAAGAGGCTTCTTTGCCTTACATTTGCTCTTTGAGTCATATGACGGGCCATTTTCCTGTCACAAACATCTGATGGGAAAGCTACCGGGGATTCCAACCCTCGGGTTCCTTCATCCTCTGCCCTGTGTGTTTCTGCACAAGTGGCCAGACCACAACACTGGGTCCAAGATGAAGACGGGCTGCTTCTGAGCCCGCCCCCAAAGGATCCCAGTGGATCCCAGCCCTGTTGAGCAGGCAGGAAGCCAGAGGCTCTCAGGAAGCACGGGCACTGCCTCCTGATTCCCACTGGCAGAGGGGCCTTTATGTGAAAACACCCAGTCGTCCGAGCTAGGGGAGGTCCCCTTTCAAGAGGAGCGCTTGTTTTTTCATTAATTTTGAACTTTCGGTTTGGAGGCAAACTGACCCTGGCATAGCTCAACACCCAGGCTGGTCCGGGCCTCATGGGTCTCAGTGACTCATCACATCCCAAACAGCAGCCCTTCCAAGAAGCCCCGCCCTTGGAGCCCTGGGCACTGGATGCGGAGA